ATTTCATGAAAAAATTTCATAAGATTAAACAATGAAATCGACAGATGAAGGTGGTTTGCACGGTTTACACAAATGAGGACGATTTTCATATGATCGCTTCTCTCTCTCTCTCTCTCTCTATATATATATATATATATATATATATATAAAGAGAGAGAGAGAGAGAGTTCAGACGAGAACATAAACTAAATAAGAGAATACAAAAATGACCAAATCACGTGCAAAATCATATGTGATTTTATATGTACTGTTAGTGTAAAATCACATCTGATTCAACCTTATTCTCTTATTTTATTGTTGTTCTCGTATGAACCTGACTCTATATACATACACATGCATGAAAGATCATGTGAGAAAAGGAGTAAATGTGAGAAGCATAATAAGAAATCTAGGCTTTGATCAATTTTAATTTCACCTCCACCTTATGAATCATGTTTGATACAAGAATTGATAGGTGCATCTTGAAAATTGATCTAATGATGAAGATCCCTTTTCATCTTTTTCACTTTTATTCTTACAACAACCAACTCTCTCTCTCTCTCTCTCTCTCTATATATATATATATATATATATATTATAAAACCTTCAAATGCAATCATGTCTATTTGTAAAACCAGCAACACAATCAATTGAGATATTTATGAAAATGATGAGAGTTCATTTATTATAATTTGAATATTCATGAAAGATGACTAGAGTTCATTAATTATGATCAATACTTTATATTAAAAAACAATCAAAACTTTTATGAAATCACATATTTATCAAATTAAATGGACGGTTGAGATTGAGTTGTAACAGTTGTACAAATGTAAGGAGTTGCATAATAACTCATCTTTATATATATATATATATATATATATATATATATATATATATATATAACTTTGGAAACATGGGAAGTAATCATGACATTGCTAGCAAGAAGCACCTTGATATATTCAATTGATATCTATCCAACAAAGGTGGAATAAAGTACTCAGCATATATGGTTTTAAATGACCCTATGCTTTGTAGCAAAGGAATCATTTGCAAATTGCAATTCAACACACTATCTTAAATCTACCAAACTTTTAAAAAAATATAGAAAAAAATTATAAACCAAAAATCAAAAATAGAGAGAGATAAACAAAGCAAGCCAACACACATCACATGTAGGGAAATATTTGATGCTCCCATGTACAATACAACGTACGGACTCAGAAAAACCGAACCGCTTCAGTTTCAAGTCAGCTCAATGTTGTGGCAGAGGTGGTCCCGTAGGCTTACACTGGTAGCACTTGGCGAATAAACCGAACGTATCTACTTGTCTGACAAAGTTGGTCACACTAGCCCATCCACCAAATCCAAACCCGACAACCAGAACCCAAACAACAACAAACATGTTGAACACGTACATGCAGGCCCAACTCGGCATGAAGCGAGGAGGTTTCTCCGCTGCATTCTGCAAACAATAATTTCGGATGATGTAAAATTTCATGACAGACTTGAGGGCAAGTTTAGTTGAGGGACTGTTTTTGATATTAAAGAAATCTTGAAGGACTGTTTTTGACATTCAAGTAGTCAACACTTGGCCAGCCCAGCTCAGACATACAACACCACTTAGACTGTAGCATTTAACTAAATTGAAAGGGACTTGCTACCTATCTGGTCCCAGTCCATCAATATTTCCAAATCTACCCTTGTGCACCCTCTACATACTAACCTACTATTTCGTTTAGGCTAAGAATGAAATGGGAAAAGAAAAAAATCTGACCAGGGTTATTTATGTAATTTTATTTTCATTCTCATTGATTACTGATCCAAATAGCTATTAGTAAAATTCTGGTTAAGGAAGTTCTAAGAACTGATATAATTATAAAAGTTTGGAGTCTCCATCAAGAATATTGGTTATTAAAGAAAGCATGTGGGGAAGAAACAGACTATACTACTATTGCTACTTTATTGCATTGACCTTTCTACCCTTTTCATAGCAAGATAATTACCAAAATGCCACTAATGAAAGTAAGCACAACCCATAACTAAACATGTCACATTACAGAATAATTCCTATATACCTACCATAAATAGACTAATTTATGAATTATGTATATATCATGCATTGACGGCTTTTAAAGTCATCAATGATTAATATAATTCCAATGATTAAAATTTTTTACCTGACGAGCTGAGGCCGTTCTGTATGTGAGCATATGGGCGAGAGACGGGATGATGTAGACCGTGAAACTGACCAAGAGTGCACCGACGGCGGAATTGATGGGTCCGAAAAAGGGGAAGATGATAGCCAAGAACCAAATTGGTACCACAACCGGTAGCCTTGCGAGCGCCCGTAAACATATGCTCTTCGTGTCGTGCATACCGATCACCTTCTCCCACACGAAATACAACGGTGTACATGCAAATCCAAATGTAATGAACTGTTCCAAATTCATCAAAGAAAAATATGTCGGTCGCAGTCCATAAAATTATTTGAACGTAAAGATACAAGTTTACCAAAGGGTCTTTGGTCTAGCGGTATGTGAGTCATTGGCCTCCTAGAAGGTAAAGGGTTCAAACCTCACCAAAGGTGAAGAGGGTGTGTGAGTTTATTTGTTCTATTTGCCGTATATAATTATTATATACTTAAAAAAATATACAAGTTAAAACACGATGCTTTAGAGGCGACCGTAGCACACAACGAAAAACAAAATGATGGCACCGTTGAGAACCGTAAAAGAAGTTACATTAACACCAAAAAATGACGCACACTCATTGTCCGCCATTAGATGCAATACCATATATATATATATATGGAGATTCAAACGAGAACACCTTTATTTTACGAGAACGCGAGAACATGGTATTTGAATCCATACAATCTCATAGTTGTATAATACATGGGAAAGCCATTTTATAAAATAGTGGTTTAAATCTACAACATACAACTTTTAATGCATGATGTATGATTTGATTAATAAAAATCAGTTGCTTCCAAATTCTCTGAAGCCACATCATTCATTTAACGAGACGAGAGAATGGAAATATGAATTAAATAAATCCGTATCAAATAAAGTAAGAATGTGTCTTCAAGTCATTGGTGGGACAACAAAGAATTTGGAGACAACAGATTTATATTACAATTATATATTTGATGAAGTTAGATAGTAGTTTAACCTGATGAATGAGCATTAAGATGACGGCGGCATCACGCCAACGGGTCTTGGGAAGGAGAGAGAAGGCGTTCGAGTGATTAAGAAGCTTGTCGCCGAAGGCCCAGTATACAGCAGAAGCTGACGGTAGCGTCAGTGTGAAAACGTAGAGGGTGGCAATTAGGTAAATATACTTGAATTTTCGGGGTTTCCACATAGCATGCATAATCTCCCTGTAATCATGACCAAAATCAATTTTGGCGTAAACCAGAAAACAATTAACATTGGAACACCATATAAATATGCACGCTGTGTATGTATGCGGTTTTAAAACACAAGAACCGTAATCTTCGTGAAGTTAACTTTTTGTAAAAATATATCTAAAAACAACGTCGTTTAGAAATATTTATTATTTCATAAAAAAAAACAAGAAAATCTAATGATTCAAATGCCAAGAACATGAAGGATTTTGAAGAATGGGCATTGGATCCTGCTACATAGTAAATGACCAAAATATCCTTACAAACATCTAATCGGGATGGCAAGTCCATCACCCACTCCATGTTCCCCTCTTTATTAAAAGAATGACATAATTCACAACAAAAGACGATACTATCAACAACTCGAACTCAAATCTTTTCGATCTAAAACATATATAGTTTTATCAACTTGACGACGAACTTAAAACTTATTTTTTATATAAAAATCCAATAAAAAAGAAGAAAATAATAAAATAAAAGTCCACAAGAACACATTAATCTATTAATATCCATCTATAGAACCTTTTATACAGTCTTTTTTCAGGTTTCATAACCCAATTACCCAAGGTGGCCGGCAAAAGCTGCAAAGAGAAGCCGCGTAGAAGAAGGAAGAAAGGGTATCTTTTCACAAAAGTTTCCACATTTAAAAACCAGAACTTTTTGATTAATTATTATAGTATCATCCCAGAATAATGTACACTTATTAATGCATAATGTACAACCGAATAAAGCCGTATTTATAAGAAGAAAAAAGAAAAGCAGACTTACACAGTGACAGCATGGCCACCGAAGGTGTATAAGATATTGGTGGCTCCGGTGAAATACAGCACGAGCTTCTTGGGACCAGAGTGTTGAACCCCATCAACCTGCAATTATGTATCATGGTATAACCTGTAAATCCTTTCCATTTTAAGCAAGAAAAACCCATATGAGATCTGGTTCTGAAATCTTGATCTTTCTTTCTAAATATAGTATGTGTATACCTGGCCATGGATTAAAGCTGCAATGGCCATGTACCAGGCGGTGTAAGTGGTCATCCCAAGGCCAAGAAAAGACCAAATTCTGTAGTTGTGGAAAGATGGGATGAACACAGTGGTTGCGCAGCATGCTCCAAATATGTATGTCCATGTCCTTTTGTCCAAATGGTCATTTATGTAGTATATATTACTGTCATTTTTACATAAAACAAAAAAACAGTCAATTTTTGGTATGATATTTGAGCCAAACCGACTTCATATTTTGGGTCAAAAACAAACCTTGCACAGGCTATGAGTTGTATGACAGAGCCAAACAGAAGAAAAGTGCAGTTGAAAGCCAGTCCTATTGCTTTCCAGTAAGGTCCCAATAATCCATCAAGAACTTCAAACCACTGTAATTTTGAAGAGGAAAAAAAGAGATCAAATTTATGGGTTTTTTTTTTACTTTTTCTTTTATTGTGAAGAAAATCAAGAAAAATTGAGAAATGAACCTGGATGACATGGTTTTTGAAGCTGACACCTTCTTTTTCTTTTCTGTTTCTGTACTCAATGTAAAGAACACTGATGAGATAAGCAGTCCAGCTGCCAAGAATGCCGTAGAAAATTTGGAGGACAATCCCTGAGACCATACCCAGTTGAGAGAAAGAGTATGGAAGTGTTAACAGCACTTGTGCCACCTGCATAAAGACTTGTACATTCAAGATTTTCTCTTCCTTTTTTTTAGTGGAAATTAAGGTTTATTAATTAATGATTTTGGGTTATTTTCGTTACTTGATTTGAAGAACAACTAAACCAAGCATCCCAAGAAGACCCTCCATGCCACAGAGCATTTTTCATGGAGAAAACCGACTGGTCTTCTTCTTCTTTGCCTTCTTCTTTTCCTCCTCCACCTTCATGTTCATTCTCGTTGAAATTTGATGAAATTATCGAGTCCTCTGCTTGCTTCTGACCCGACATTTTCTTCGATTTTAGGTATAAAAATAACTCCTTTCTAAACAGATCTATCAACACAAACAAATGAGAATTTAACAAAACCCCATGAATTCCCAGATCCAGAAATCAAAAAAGATTATTATTTAATAAAAAAGCAAAACAAAATTAACCGTTTTTTCTACCTTATCAAGTCTCCATCTCCAAACCCCAGATCTTATAAGGTACAAATCCACTTGATTTATGACATTTTGGATCGTATATATGTGAATGTTTGTACATGAACCAGATATAGAGAGAGAGAAAAAAGAGGTGGGGGGGTTTAAGTGCTGTCAACAAATAATTGAAGAAGCAGCAGCTCAGTCAGACATTTATACAAACACAAGGCAGCTACTCAAAGAAAACCTCAAAAAGTAGAGCAGCAGTAGTAAGAGAGAGAGGCAAGAAAATGAAGGGGCTTTTTGATGGGATTAAAGGTAGACATATATAGAAACCAATTTCTCACTTTTCTTGGGGGATATTAACTTGGAACTTTTGATTATTTTATTGAGTGAGAAAAGCAGTCGGATTCACTGTATACCATTTTACCGATTGGATCATAAGATCAGAGGAGAGACAAAAAAGAGGAGGGTTTTGAGGAAGGTCCTGGGGTCATGGTGGATGGCATCGCTGGATATTGCTTCTTTCTTTAATCCAAAGACAATCATAAACCGCTCTTAACGGCTCCAGATTTTTGGCTTAAAAGATTATCTTTTTAAACCATCCAACATTTAACTATTACTTTAACACAAGTGGTTATATGTCAGTCAGACCATAATTGGATATCCGATTGTAATTGGATCGGATCAGATTGATAATTTCAACATCTAATTTGGATCGGTCGGTTCACGAATGACAGCCCAGAACTGACCACACCGAACCGAACCGAAACCCATCAACATTCAATTACTCATCTAATTAATCATCTGATGACCATCCGATTGTTCATCCAACCATTATCCAGCTATCATGTAATTAATTTATTTTCAAATTGCTTAAATCGGAATTTGTTTTATGTCATGGCTTTGAATTTTTAACTTCCCTTGTGTTAGTTTTAACACATTAAAATTGATTAATCAATTTGTATCATTGTTGGAGAATTCGATTGAATTAACATATTGGATGGATCCAATCTTAATAAATCATCCATTCGATATCCAACGGATATCCAATAAAATTATCCAATGGATGGAACCGAACCGATCCAATCATCCATTGGATTGGATTGGATCAGTTATCTAATGTTAATCGGATTGGATTGGTTGATAAAATCGAACATCCAATGGATGATTGGATCGATTTGATTCCCCTCATAGCCAATGGATGTCAACCAATAATAAGATAGTTGTTGATTGATAAGCTGATTAGTACTCATAAATACATAATGTTTAACAAAAACTATCTGATAAATATGAAAAATGACCAAAAAGAATATTTTAAAAAATTAGTCAATTTATATTTTGTAATATAATTAAAA